TGGCTGAAAGACAGCAGTAAAAAGGAGCCAGGCAGTAGCAGTAGAAAGGCTGCAGAAAGAGTCAGGAGCCCAGAGGAGATGAAGAGGTTGGGGCAGAAAGTGGAGACGAAAGCAGACGACAGAACATTGCTAGATAGCAGGAAAGGAGGTGAGGGGGTGGGGCAGAAAGTGGAGACGAAAGCAGACGACAGAACATTGCTAGAGAGCAGGAAAGGAGGTGAGGGGGTGGGGCAGAAAGTGGAGACGCTGGCAGACGACAGAACATTGTTGGAGAGCAGGAACGGGGGCCAAAGGAGAACATTTTAGAGAAGAACATTTTCCGTCAGCATCCGGATTCGAACCCGGGACCTTTGAATGAGAGGCGAGTTTGGTCTAAGGACACGTCGTAAAATCTGAACACAATTTTGCTGAAATAGTTGTACGAGGCCTGTCTAATTAGTTGGGGAAAACATGGCAAAGTTTTAGAATCTTTAGAACAATTGCGGTTCATTCCTACCCACAATATAAATATTGGACAAACCAGTATCTATACATAATAATTATTCTAATTGTGAACGTTCGTCACATTGGCCTCCTAGAACTTCCCAACCACTAAACCTTCCAATTTGACCAAATTAACGGTGGTTCAGAATCATTTAATGGGTGCAGAGTTTTATTGAGGAGCCTGAAGTCACTGCAATTTAATTTACAGTTTTTCATTAGTTTCGTTTAGATCTAATCTTGGGAAAGTCCATCTTCTAAGACGCCATTGTAAACAAGTGAGGTTTCCGTTCAATAGCCATGCGCACTGTTTCCTCACTTTTGAATTTCTGGAGTGTACAAATCGGAATAGTAAATCAGTTTATACATCTATATATCTAAACCTTCTAATTTTTTGCATCTCTCAGGATGCACCCTTCCAGTAGAGTGTAAATATAGTAGGCCAATGACTTTCAGTTGATGTTAATGCACCGATCATTTCTTTCATGGAAAGGGGGCCCAGCTAGTTTGTAAATAATCTAAATACATTAGAAGAAAAGCTTCACACATTCACACATTGGTTGTAACATGAAATTCATCGTATTGATCGTTTTTAGCATTATAAACTAATAGTGGTTTCTTCATTTTATAGGACTAAGGCACCTTTCAAAACTACCGTTACCTTCAAGATGTCGATTTTCCCTGGGAAGGACTAATCTAGGAGAAAATAGAATGAATTCCCTCTACTCCGCAAATAAACGTGTTCATATTATGGCATAGTCCGCCTATCGAAAAGAGCTCCCTACTCCTCAGCGAACAGAAAATAAATTTTTTTTAATAATTGGAGAATGGTTTTAAGTTTAGTGATGTTTGTTCTATCATTTTCAGACTTCGAATAGTGTGACTTTGTTTATTGCCGACTCTCTCTCTCTCTCTCTCTCTCTCTCTCT